CTCCGGAGTACCCTCCTCTCGGGAGCATCCTCAGGGAGCAAGGATGGCTCCAGGGCGGGGGACAGAGCCCAGTGCAGTCCAGGCCGTGTCTGCTGGAGCTGGAGGCTCGTAGCAACAGGGTCAGCGCTGAGTGGGCACCGGCACCGCGCCAACGCACCGAGACGCGAGAGCCGAACCTCCTCTTCCTCCCAGCCCTGTGGCACTTACACTTGGTCCGTCCCGCCGTGGAACTGGTGCTGCTCCTCGCCCCGGACGGGGGGCTCAGGCTGCTTTTGCTTCCTGCTCCTACGTGAGTTCGCCTGGCCTTGACCGGGATGCGGTTAATGAGGGGGGGTATCTTCTGGTACTCGTACACCCTGCAAGGGCACAAGAGCACGGCGGCGTGAGCACAGCCCCAGAGGTGCAGCAGCCACCCCTGCCAGCCAAGAGAGCATTTCTCGGGGTCCTTCTGTGGGGTAGGACGCCCACCCTGGCCATTGCACAGCCCACACGCTGCCCCGGCCCCAGGTACCCCATTCCTGAGACCCCCCTGCCCAGGGAAGTTGTGGTACTCAAGCTCCTCGAAGGGGGCAATGCCACTGAGTCCCTCACGGAGGTGTAGGGATGGATGCCCTGGGACACCTCGCTTTGTGCCTTCAGCAGAGGCACGCTCAGCCCACCCTGCTCCTGGGGTGCCGTGCTCACCGGTATGGGAAGTCATCCCTGTAGGGATCGTAGTCCAGCTCGCAGTTACTGCTGCGGGGGGGGAGAGAAGAGAACAAGTCACCCGCTCTGCAGGGCCAGGGGTGCCACGGAGCAGCCGTGACTGGGCACAGCAGAGCACCCACCCGGTGTCCAGCCCCATCCCCAGGGAGCGGGAGGCATCCTGGAGGATAATGCACAAGCTGCCTGGGCCGCAGCACAGCCCGGGGAGGCGCCTGTGCCGTGCCAGGGGTTTGCCCCGGTGCCAAGCAAGGGCATTGAGGGGGATGGAGACCCCCCCCGGAGCAGCATCAGCAGGCTCCGCTCTCAGGAATCTGCATTTAGAGCACCCTGATGTTAAATTTCATGGTCCCTGCTCTACGTGCACGCTGCCGGCTCACTCAGCTCCAAATGAAGAAGCGATCTGTCAACGGATTGCCTCCACAATGCGGGCAGCTGACGTGCCGGTAATAAATCATGTGCCGTGGACCAGGAGCCGGGGTGTGGGGAGGGGAGGAAAAATGCTGAAGCTGGTTTTGCTGCTTCAGCTCTGGTGGAGTCAGGAAGCGTAGGATTAAGCCTGACCCGAGGGGAGATGAAGTCGTGCTCAGAGCATCGCCGGGAGGACGGAG